AATTAGATAATAAATAAAGCCTTTATTATTTTAGTAAAGATTTTACGTACTTTTTTTTACTTATCGTATGTTATGAGTTTTTTTTTTGTTAAACCGATTTTATGGGATATAATACAAATACAATTAGAGGATTGAACAAAATCATAACAAATTTCCATAGAATTAGATAACAAGAAGGAATTAGATAAGGAAAAGAAGTAATTAGATAAGGAATTTCGAATCTGATTTTTTTTAGTATAGATTGACTTTACGTACAAATTTTGACTTCACCGATTTTATGGGATTTGTTTTGACAAAATCGATGTCAATATGGAATAAGACAAATAAATAAAGGCTTTTTTATTTTAGTAAAGATTTTATGTCATTTTTTTTTAACTTATCAGATGTTATGAGATTTTTTTTCTTAAACTGATTTTATGGGATATAACACAAAAAAATAAATAAATGAATAAAATTCTGGATAAAAATAGCAATGCATTAATTACGTTGACTTTTCAACCTACTAAATTTGGTAAATAGGATACCTTATTATATAAGTATAGATTTGCTTGTGATTTAGTATTAATGCTAATAAGAAATGCTCCCCTAGGGCACATGTTAATATGCCCACCGTGGGTAGATGAGCCTTTCTCTAACGCAAATACTTTTTTCTCATTTGTAAATATGTAATTATTTCCAAATCACACAAACAAGCATGTAAATTGACCTTCTTCTTTCACTTTCTCATCTCATTAAAAAAATAAAAATATTCCAGGAGAAATTACACTTTACCCACATAATTATATATATATTCACTTTACTCAATCAATTTTTCCCTGACACTTTGGTTATACAACTTTCCAACAAATTGCACAAAACAAAATTATGGTCATGGTTGGATGTTTATAAGCGCAACGTTTGACTTTTTAGTGATTTATTTCAGAAAATTAACTTTACCCACCAGCCTATATGTTTTTTTGCACTTTATTCACTTAACTTTTTTTATTTGACACTTCGGCCATATAACTTTGCACAAAATTGCATTTATGAAATTCTGGTCACTGTTGCGCATTTGTGAGGGCAAAATTGATTTTGCAGTGTTTTATTTAGGGACACACTCGTCAATTTAATTTTTTTAGCTTCTTATATCAACCTCAATGATTTCCATCTTTTTCAAATCGATCAAAAGTGTCAATCAAAATAAGATATAAGAAAATAAACAGAATGACACAACACACACTATTACTATATATTCAATATTTATTTTATATTAAACATAATATAAAATTCTCCTAATATCAGGATCATCGTAGCACAATCAAATCCAATAATTCGAAAATTTTCAAATAAATTAGACACCAAACAACAATGTTGGGAAAAAAATCTGAAATTTTAAATATATATATATATATATATGTATATATATATTTTAGGACTTTTTTTCCTCCTTAAATTGGCATGCAATGGGTTCGAAGATACGTGTTCTCGTGAAGCAACTGATACAAACGCTACACAAAATATGAAGATTCATTCACATGATGATAATGAAAACTCATCTCTCATTGTGAAATTTATGTTTTCCCTCCTTTCAAATTTCCAAGTTCAAACTCTTTAACACGAATTTAGAGTTTGATAACTCAAACAAGTATAAATTATTCGTCGCGATCTTGTCATCAATTGTGCTCCCACTCTGTCGTCGCCATCGCCGCTGACGGATGTGTCCTCCACATGCGATTGACCAATCGATCGATTGCATATTTTTCTGAGGGGAAATCCAATTGCGAGGGTTCAATGTTAATTGGGTGGAGAGAATGATCAACGATAATAAGGGTAATTAGGTGGGTAACATGTTGTTGACGAGCGTTTTCGGTCAACGGTTGAGATGTTAAATGTCGAAAATAAAAGATTGAAAACAAAAGGATGACTCGGTTTAATTATGATTTTATTGAGCGATCACGAGGTCGGCCTCTCGTACGAGGTCGGCACTTGCGATATACTTACAATCCTTACAGTGAGTTTCTTACAGTTTTAGAGAGAGAAAGTAGAGAGAAGGCAGAGTTAGTTGAATTTCAACAACCTAAAATAAATGAAATGAGCTGCTATTTATAGTAGTCTTTAATGTGGCACTATTCAGCTACTGTTCACCGGTCTTGTCGCACAGTGACTTTGAAGAGCAGTCCGGCGTCCATCTGACATGTATTTAATGCGATTTGAAATTTCTTCAATCATTACCTGTCAGGCATTAAATACCAGCATGAGGGGCATTTAATGCTGGTAGGCTTTATTGATTTAGGCTTACTGGTAGGGTGCTAGGCCATGATTACTTGTCCCATCGTCCAATGATGGCCTCCCAAGTGGGAATATTTTAATGCTCATCAAAGCCTGCACTTTCCCTCTTGTCGGCCTCCTCGGATTTTCAGGCCGGCACCTCATTCGAAAGTGTTCACGAGACTGCGAATAGTCTTCTTTCTGTCCAGCACCCCTCCAGGCCGGCCTTTGTCCGTACTGAGCCAGGTGCCGAGCTGGGAGAACGTTCCTATGGCGGTTCTGCACATCTTTAATCCTCGGTTCAGCTCGGCACCTCTTCACCAGACCGGGTCTTCAGCTCGGTCCTGAGAGGTTGAGTATCTGGTTCAATCCAGGCCAACTCGGTCATCAACACATGTAATTTTACTATTTATAATTAACTGAATGCATTACTGAAAGATTGGTTTTGTTTTTAGAAATGCCCAGTGGTGACCGAAATTAGCTAAGTGCAAATTTTTACAAAGTTATATGGATAAAGTGTCACAAAACATATAGTTAGATGGGTGAAATGTATTTTTCCCTTTGTTTTATGTGCGCTTGTGTTGTTTTGGTGGTTTTTTTCTTTCTCTTTTATTGGAGCTAGTATTTCCATGTGTGTGAGTTATGTATTTTATGCTTCTGAGAGCTTAGTGTCTTAGTCTTGTGGGTGCGTTTTAAATTTTAAGTGTAGTTGTTTCTAAGCTACTATCATTATGACGTATAATTCTCTCTTTGAATTCATGTGTATAGCTGATTGAGTCGGTTATTGCTAATTGTTTTCAGGGTTGTCAATACGTATATCTATAAAATATGTGGTTTTAAAAAAAATATATAAAACACTAAACATTCTGTTTAGTTTATCCAAAAAATGTGATATTTCACAATTTTAATTTGAACACTCAACTCTTAAACTAAACTATGCTGCAATTCATGGTTGGGAGTTGGGACAAGGGCACCTCAAACTTGTGAAATTACATTTAAGAAATGAAATATAAATCAATTTTGAAGTCCAAACCATTTGCTCAATTAATTGATGGTGAGCAATTTAGGGGGAAAAAAAAAAGAAGAAAACTTCATATTGAATCTTAGAATTGATTAAATAATTTTCAATACAGACATTCAATTTTAAATTTGATATCTTTTAAATTGAGCCTGAATAATCTCTACAGCATGCATGAGAAAAATGAATGTACATGAATTATTAACAGCAGGGTTTTAAATCCATATATTAGTTTGATGTATATTAATTTACTTGAAAAAACTTGATCAATATGTGCATTAGTCTACAAATAAAATGCCCAAATTAAATTTGATTTGCTGTTTCTAGTAAGGTTAACTATAAGTAATGTATAAATAACATGTATTTTTTTAATGAAATAATGAAATATATTTTGGTATTCAGCATGCTTATTAGTATAAAAACAATGTTCTTGAATTGTAGTTCACATTTCAAGTCAATACAAGGGATAAGGAACCATAAAGCAGACCATATCCAAATCAAAGTGCAAGTAATAAAAATGAGAATGTATACATTATATTGCCTTTAAATAAATGCAGATGAATTGCAATTTAACATGGTAAAGGTGAAATATGATTTATTAAGAATGTTTTCATTAGTATATGAGTATGATGCATCATACATTGGTTCTAAATTTAAGGAAAACAAGTTAATACAATCTTGTGGAACAAAATTATATTGTAATAACGATTTACCGTAATTCTTGTACCTGCATTCATTATTACGAACACAGATCACGACAAAAAAGTTTTTACTGCAGACAATTGTGACGTCATTACAAAATAGCACGTGTCTAAGAATAAAATTTTGTATTAAACGTAAGTTACGTTGAATCCATGCAAAAAAAGTCTTATTCGACCGTAAAAGAAAAAAAAATCGTATGTGCAGTTCATATTATCACAACTTTATAACTCGTGAAATCAAATTACTACCATCAACACAATCAATTGTAACATTTATATACGAGTCGAGTTTTTACAATAAAAGAAAAAAAAAACGTGCACTACATAGCCTTATTACTATACTAGTAAAAGAAAATCACAAACATGTTCATCTTGAATGCCCTTCGAATCGACATTTCCCCAGCCAAATCCAATCGGATTTCAACGATTCTCGATTCTACACCCTCGCACATTCACCTACTATCACTTCCCATGTTCGGATCGGAACTTCATTTCAAGCATTTTCACATAATGTGCGAAAACCGCAACACTGTCCATGAAAACCTCTATTTCGACCACTTCACATTCCAAACGCAATATCTCCCAAACCGTACATCCTCACGGCACAAATAAACACTCTCCCGAAACCTTACGAAATTTTCCAAAATACTAAAGAAAAATCAGCTCGATCCAAGAACCCTAACTCGAGTTATTCCCGAATCAACCAAGCACAAAAACACACCCTTAGGGTGCTTTAGCAGCCAACTCACCTTATGCAAATGCTAATGTCAACTCACTAGAGGCGCGCGCCGTAGATTAGATCCAATCGAACGGCCCAAATTTGAAATTTGGCAAAGGCCTCGATCCGCGTCAATCTCCTCTCGACCAATCAGATTTCGTCTTCTCGGATATGAGCCTTGCGCATTTTCGTATATAATCCGCCCCAATTTCCTCCTCCGAGACTCACAACATAACCCACCGCTAGATCTGTACTCCTATCCTATCTCAATCCTCAAATCCTAGTCTTAACCATAGATTCCGAAGCCAATTCAGTCATGGCCGCCACTGCCGAGGAGCCAGTTATCCCCACCGAGCCGGAGGTTGAGGCGCCGGCTACCGAGGAGCCTGTCAAGGAAGAAGCTCCTGTGCCGGAGCCCAAAAAAACTGCCCCCGCCGACACTGCCACAAAGAAAGTCACCGCGTCGAGGAAGCGCAAGACGTCCACTCACCCTCCTTACTTCGAGGCACTGGATGCGTTGATTCTCGTTTGATTTGTTTTCCTTCAATTCGTTGAAAATGGTGTTTGATTGATTTTGTTCTGTTTGTGTGCGTGCAGATGGTTAAGAACGCGATCGAGACTCTGAAGGAGAGGACCGGATCGAGCCAGTACGCGATCACCAAGTTCATCGAGGAGAAGCAAAAGAATCTGCCGCCGAATTTCAAGAAGCTCCTGCTCATGCAGCTGAAGAAGTTAGTCGCCGCCGGGAAGATCAACAAAGTCAAGAACTCGTACAAGCTCCCACCGGTCCGTGCTCCCAGATCGGCTACTGCTGCCCCGGCCAAGAAGAAGCCGTCTCCCGCCGCTGCAAAGCCAAAGCCAAAGGCGAAGCCGAAAGCCGCTGCCAAATCCAAGGCCGTCGCGAAGTCCAAGGCGAAGCCTAAAGCCGCCGCCGCCAAACCCAAGGCTGCTGCCGCCGCGAAACCTAAGACTGCTGCTGCCAAGCCCAAGCCGGCTGTGAAGGCTAAGCCAGCTGCCAAAGCTAAGCCGGCTGCTAAGACCAAGGCTGTAGCTCCTGCAAAGCCGAAGGCCGCCCCAAAACGTAAGGCTCCCGAAAGGGCAAAGGCTGAGAAGAAGCAGCCGGCCAAGGTGGCAAGGACCTCGACGAGATCGACTCCCAGCAAGAAGGCTGCGGCGCCGCCACCCCCGAAGAAAGCTCCGGCGGCGAAGAAGGCGGCTGCGAAGAAGACTCCGGCCAAGAGCGCGAAGGCGAAGACTGTGAAATCTCCGGCGAAGAAGGCCGCCGCGAGGAAGGGGAGGAAGTAGGGATCGCAGGGGGTATTCTGGGAAAAACGAAGTCTGTTTCTAGGGCATTACTGTAAATTTACTATCGATCTTTTTATGGGTGTTGCTGTAGTTGCTTTTTCTGCCTGAGGGGCATGATAGAATCTCAATTCTTTTTTCCTTCTCATTTCTTAAAATTTTCATTTTCTTTTTTTATGTTTCCTTTTCTCTTTTGAATGTTCTTGTTTTAGGGATTTGGATTAATGCATGTTTTGTATATGTTCAATTCTTATCCCAAATGAAATATGAAATTAGTGGATCTTCTTAAAGTTCTCAATTTTTCTGTTTATGCAACATTTTTTTTTTTTTTTTTTAAAATTTAGAAAAGTTCTCCACTCTGCAGATTTGAGGTTATTAGGGTTCATAAAGAAAAGCACAGGCATGAATGAGTTGCTTGAATGAAGGCAGCCCAAAATTATTACAGCTAATGGGTAAAACCTCTGAACATTGTCTGGTTTTTAACTCTCATCTACTTTTGCAGTTTATCTTTATGTCCATTTATGTGTTGGTTCTATCAAATCCTTGCAGATTATGCTCTAAATGAGGAAGGATGACAGTGAGAATTTGAATCCAGGGCTTTCGAGGTGGTGTAAATTTCATTTTATGTTGTTTCCAGCTCTTGAATCCATGATCGAATCTACTCTATCCAATCCGACTTGTATTACGACAATTGTTGATCTCGGAGCATTGAAAATTAACTTTGTTAAAATATCAATGTATCTGCTTTATCTAGATACATCTGGCTAGCAAACGTCTGAGTCATTTGGTGTACCTATGAATGGCATGAACGGGCTCTAGTAAATGATGAAGCGATAATTTTGTTGGTCTAAAAATCTGATTTTTGAGATTCTAATGATGCGAAGGTATTTGCGGAACTCTTTCCGCACCTTCTTTTTTTTTTTACTTTATCATCTTTCCAATCCATGCTACATTCCGAAAGGAAGAGGAAAAGTTAGTCTCCGAGTAGTTGTGCAAATGGAAACTCATATAAACATTCTGAAATTGTATTTGACCACCATTCAATTCCTTACTATGCCGAAAAAGGGAATGTGTTCAATGAGTGCACTTCACTAACATCTTGAATTATAGTATTTTGATTATGATTCTTGTAACCATTTGATTCATCTTTCACTTATGAAATCAAAATTCAGATATCGACAGTGCACTCATGGAAGGGAAGAAGTTGAAAAGCTCGGGTAGAAATGTCAGTAGCATTACCGTTTGGCTGATCTGGCAAGCATGGGAAGCCAGATGTATTTTTCCAGCGTATGTATTCGTAAACTTTGAGCACAAGTTATTGACTAACTGTTTTCGCTGAACGATTTTCTTGATCAAGCAGGACAGTTAGTTGTAAGTAGAGTTATATAAAAATGTAAGTAGGACAGTATTTTGTTCAAGCAGAGTGATAGTAACTGTTTCCCAAGCTGTGGAATTTTGTTGTTCACTGGGGAAGTGTGTGAGGGGAGATGATTGTAAAGTGTAAACCTCTTCATGAAAAGAAAAAGAAGAAATTACAAACAGAAAGAACTAGCTGACTGTTAAAATTCATGGGATTTTGCTGCTACCTTTTTTCAGTCCGGCAAAAATGAAAGCTCAATCAAAACATTCTTCACTCATCATGTGGATCAATTGGAATTTTTATTCTACTGAATTTTTGAGTTTAAAAACAGTTGAAATATTCTATTATAATCCACTATCGATTTATATGCATCACGAGACGGAAGTTCAATCCCTTAGTCTCTCGATTCTCTGAATTGAATATTTGAGCTCCTTCTGGATATTCACCCTTGAGGGCGATAAGACTATATCGTTCCAGACAGAACCCGCCTGGTAAGCCGGGTGGGGCCTCTTATACAGCTCGAAAATAGAGTCTGCTTCCTCGTTCAACCTTCCTACAATGTCCAGACACTTAATCTCATCTGGGTCCACCAGCAAATTCTTGTCCTTATCCTTCCATCCTATCAACTTCACCAATCACAACACATCAGCATCAAACAAACACACACACACACACACACACAAATATATATACATATACATATACATAAACAATAGTACTTGTATAAATTAATCCATGTGTGTAATTTTCTTGTTCTGTTTCTCTTTTGCAGTTGGAAGTTGACCGTACCTTTGGAGGGCCTTCCAAAGCATTGGTGCTGTAGAGACGAGCATTATCCACTAATTGGCAGTAAGTTTTGAATGCATCTGCAAATCTCTTATGTGATTTTAGCTGTGAGTTCACTCTTACTGCTCTTCTACACATTATGGCTCGCCTGTGGCATACCAAAAGACAAAAAAATGTCAGCTCATTAGAAACTCATATCTAGAATTAACCAACTAAACCCCAAAAAAAAAATAAAAAAATGAATCATATATGAGTGTATCACTCTCTGTACCTTATTCCCCGAATAACTGCCAAATAGGCATCACAAACAACACCGACCAATTCTATCCTGTAGGGCCTTCTCTTCCTATTTCCATCCTGTTCTTGTTCCTCATCAATTTGTTCCCAGTAATTCTCAGTCACAATTCCATCTTTGTTTACTTTGTAGCCAGCTCCCATACGGTACCTTCGCCTGTGAACATTCCTAGCCATGGTTATTGTTTGCATTACAAACGGGACCCACGAGAGAGTTCCGTCCATTATCACATCTCGGCCTTCGTTGAGTGCGGTTACTAAAAGGGATGAGGCTGCATCTGTAGATGATTGGTGCACCTAAAGAAAAAGTTTAGAGTAGGTTGATGAAATATTTTCATATGGTAACTAATAACTATTTCCAGTTAAAGCTTGCAGCATAAAAGTTTTTGCATCTTGATGTTCATTGAGGTGAAGTTACTAGGTATTTTTTTTATTATTATTATTTTTTTTAAGACAGCTTATTCATAGGCGGAGACTCGAAAACTGAAGTCATACATACGTGAGAATGCGTATTGGGAAAGCTGGAAAATCGACTCATGCATACTATATAATTAATAAATGTCGATTTTTTTTTTTTATTTTAATATTTGTGATGGATATAACCGATTGTTGTGTTACTTATATGAAGGGGATGAATACCAGCTCAGCAGTCTGAAGCATGTCATGATGCCCCCTTGAGCTAAGGGCTCTATATATAACGTCTGACTCTTTAAATGCATCAGCTTCTATCACAACCGCATTCCCACATGCTCCGGCCCAGAATGGTCTGTACCGACACATAGTCGAACAAAAATTAGCTTTCAAACTCTTGCAGAAATTAGGAAAAATGAAAAAAAAAAAAAAATCAGATATTCTCAGCTATTTATGTTCTTTGAAGTTAATCCCACTTATCATGTTATCACTAATTCTCTTTTGGCTTACTCTTTGAGAATGTCCTTGAGCACGGTACTTTTGCCGGCTCCCATTCCACCACCCATGAGGAGGAGCATTGGGCTTCGGTCTTTGTGGGCCATAGGGACCATCACATTCGTGCACTGTGAGTCGTCGAGGGACACAAGCCCAATGGCTTTCATCTCCTCCACTAATGTGGTAAACACTCTAGCCACCTTTAGATTCTTTGTCACCCTTTCGAATCTCTGTTCTCTGTACATATGGCAGAAGAAGGCAGGAAAAATAACAGTAAATATTAATACCTACATGTTAATATGGGTTGAATGCAAAATTTACTTCAGATCTTACCTCGTGGCTGCCATGACAATGTGCTTGAGCTTCTTTTTCGGCTCGATTTCAGCACTCAGCACCTGATGAGAGTAAGTATCACAAAAGATTCTAGAAACTGGATTTGTCAAGAGTTTTGAGATGTTAAAAGAAAATGAAAGAAGAAAAAAAGAAAGAAAACTATGCCTGGCTTAGCATGAAGGAAGCATGCCTCCAATGGAAGGCAAAGTAGCTAAGAATACATCTCTCGAGCTCCTCAACCAGCTTAATGAATAAGGAGTCGACATCAGGTTCACTCGCGAAAAAAGCGTACATTTCCTCTTCACAACCTTCGGCTTTCCTTATGTAATCCGAGGCCAACTTGCACAGGTTTGGGCATTCTCTTATCTCTCTAAATCCCATTTGCCTTGCTGCTTTTACACAATCAAGTATGTGTCAAAGGTCTTATGGGAACACATATGATGTCTTGAAAAAATAAAACGAACGAAAATTTTCCGAATGCACACTAGATTAGATACACTCATCGGATTTTAGATACACTCACCAACATAATGTCCGAATCTCTCAATGTCCAAAACCTGCCCGATTTCAGAGAGTGTTATCCGGGGCACGATCCTCTGATCTCTTATCTTCCTAAGACGGTAATGCATGGCAGCTGCTATAATCAGCCCAATTGACGAGGCCACAAGGATCTGCGTGTAAGTGGGTTTCGTGTTGCTATTCCCATAATCTGATCGAAGAAAAAAAACAACAGTTAGAGTCTCATAATCACTCATAATTTCCCAAAAGGACACACAAAAAGTTCAAAAAAAAAAAAAGGGAAAGGATAAAAACTTTTCTCCGAACGGGAAATTGTACGTAAAGATCGTACCTTTCGGCATGTCCCGGCAATGGAAGAAGAAGAATGGGGATTTTGATGTTAATTTTGACAACTGCATGTGCGATTTGTGCTTGGAATCTGGAGATCTGCATGTATGTATGTGAATGTATGAAAAATGTGATTAAGAATAATACCAAGTCAAATCGTTATGGTTGTATTGTAGTGTTTGCACGTGGTTAAACAGATATTGTTACTGTGCTGTAAAATCTCCCTCCCTATAAATGACTTTACTAATGTATCCCTGGATTTTAAGAGTAAATAGGAAAATCTGTCCTGGATGGATTTTCAGGTTCTTTGAACCTAATTTGGTAATTTGATATGTGTTTTGCGATTTTATTGTAATAAACCAATAAAATTAGATTTGATTATATTAAATTCATATTATGTAATGGACTTAATAGATAAATATATTTAATTAACAAATAATTGTATTATTTTTAAATTTGTATTGATAGGTAATTTATTTTATTACAAAGTACACACACACACACACACACACACACACACATATATATATATATATATAAATGCAATATGGATGCCAAATTAAAGTTAGTCAAATATATGATTTATTAGATATAATAATAAGTATATAATAATAAAAAAAGTTACTATATTTGAAAATATATTTATAATTTAAGTTATTAAAGTATTTTATAATTTCAAAAATCTGAATTGACATGAATAGAAATCTATATATACATAGATTACTTCGAAGCACACAACTACAATAATTACAAAACACGATAAGTTAATATGTAGGTTCGAAAGTTCCACTAACAAATATTATTACAAAGCTCTTTTACATGTATATCGTAACTCTATCTAAATAATTGCACACATACTAATCATACTTTTTAGTTGCAATTATATCAAAACCCTAAAAAAAATTGTGTTTATGCACACACCCTAATCCCTAATTTTCGCAGCAAATCCACAATTTCCTCATCTTCCTTCTGCATTGCGACCACAATTCTCTCATCTTCCACCTTTATCGCTGTTGCCACAGAGTCTCCCCGTCATCTCCAATCTCATTCTCTTTCCCGTGCACGACCCACCCCTTTGTACCCAAAATCTCCTGACGACGGTGTTCGTCCTGTTGCTGACGCACGACACTGCCAACGTCCTGTGGGCGCTGCTCGTCGGGGTCGCGGTGGTGCTAGTTCACGCCGCCGTGACGAGGACCGATGATTTGATCGCCGACGAGGAGGGTTTGTAAATTTCGGCTGTTAGGACATGTATGTTCTGAGTTGTAAATTTCGGTTGTTCTAGATGCGCAAGGAAGAAGTTGGACAATCAGATCTGGATTTTGTCCCAGACCTGGGGGCGCTGCTCGTCGGGGTCGCGGTGGTGCTGGTTCACGCCGCCGTGAGGAGGACCGACAATTTGGTTGCCGATGAAGATAGTTTGTAATATCATCAATATTATCAATATAAATAAATAATATCAATCAATCAGTCAGTCATACACACCACATCAACCTTAATTCACTATTCATCAACTCACATATTTTTAACTAATTATCAATTCAAATCATCTCTCTCATACTTTACATCAAATTAATTTTAATTATTTTATTTTAAATATTATTTTAATATACCCACTAACAACTAATCATACCATCTTTTTTAAAATTAACCAAATCAACTTAAAAAATCCAAACAAAACAAAAAAAAAAATTCATAAACAAACATACTTTAGCTTGTAGTATTTATATATAAATTTCCCATTTAAATATGGACTAATCTCGCGGGCCCGGCCCAATCAAATGAGCTTTTTGTACTCCACAAATGAGGCCTGATGGCTTTGGGCTTTAACTCGTGTTTCTATTCCTATTTATTTATAATTTCGATCAATCCTCATTGCTTTTCCCGAAACTATCCGTTCCTTTTAAGCTCTTCATCTCTGTCGCCGGTTTGAACGCTGAGACAACAAGGTACCTCTTTTTTTTT